TTAACGCCCCTGCAAACTCTGCACGAAGGGCAATACAAGTAGCATTCTTTGAAATTCTTACAAGCAAGACTTGCTATGGGCACCCTTGCACATATAGCTCCACATAGGGGTGGGCACTCAAACCAGCGAATCGGAAATCTAAGCCGAACCACACCAAACCAAACAAGAAAAAACCTAGTTGACCAAAAAGTCAACAACCGGTCAAAAATCGAACCGGACCGGTTTGGATTGGTTCCATGTCTTCAAAAATCGGACACTGAACCGATCAAATTGAAAAAAAATATAATTTCAATATATATTTATATTTAATGCTATATTTTTAATTTAACAAAAAAAAACTAATATTTATCCAAGTTCAATTTCAAAATATCTCTATTTTCTAACTTTAATATTTATTTTTATATGAAATTGAATAATTTGTTCATTTTCAAGTAAAAAATAACAATATTTCAGTTGAGAATTGTATTAAAAAATAATTTTTATAATCTGGTTCAAAACTGAACTGGACCGAAACTGGTTCAACCCGAACCGGACAATTTTTGTAATTTTTTTATTAAAATCGAACTAAACTAAAATGGATGAATAGTACCGGATCGGTTCTAATTTGAAACAAAAACCGGTATAACCCGAACTGTACCCACCCCTAGCTCCACACCTGCCAATGCCATGCCAACACACACTTGAGTTTCCCTTTTTAATTAGTTTATAAACTTTGACCAGCTTATACTTGTATTTTTGTGCAATATATATTTAGTTACATAATTTACTATTAAATAATGATGAGATCTTTTACCATATGCAATAACCATGAATAGAACCAAAAGAGTCAGTTTTGAGGAAGGCTCTCCATGTCTTTTTCACTAGCTAAATTATGTAGCAGGAATACGTATATGATATTGGTGCTATGTCTTACTGCTACAGAGTATATATTATTTATACAGGTGGAGAGGAATAGGTAAACATGGTATGGAATTGGATACATACAAAAGTTAATGCATCTTTTCTTTTGGTAAGCGTGCAAAAAATGCATCTTCCTAGATTAGGTTGTAAAAGAAGGTTGCATAGTGTGCTCATCCTCTTGCACCAGAGTTCGATCCTATTTACACCGCATAGATTAGTTTAAAATCTCGCACTGTAAAGGAGGGTCTCACTTGGCCGACCTGATTTAATTCAAACTAAGGTCTAGTTGGGTTTGGGTCTAACCGAACTGGCCCAACCCGACTCATTTTTGCAACCTATCCAACTGAGTAAACGACTATCCGTGTCAGCACAACGGAAGAAACTGAATTTGACCTAAAAGTCAACCCTACACTTTACGTGGCACTTACTAAAACCGTCATGATCAGAGCAGCTTATTGTGGTCTCCGTTGCACACTATCATTTTCTCCCCAGTCTCTAACGAACGACCCGTTCTCTCTCTCTGAGACTGAGCGTTACCACGCAAACCGTACTCTCTCCGTCCCAGCTCGGTTCCAATTTTCGCGCTCTTCGTCTTCTCTCTCTATGAACCCTAAGCTTCAATCCTGAATCCAAAATCACGCGCATAGATTCAGTTTTTAGGGTTTCTGAATGGATCTCTCCGATGCCCCCTCGTCAAATTCCATGGACGCCTCCATCACCGGTGAGTAACTTTTTACGCAGCTTCTTCAATTGATTTCAAATTTTCTCTATAATTATACAATCACATTTCGCTGGCTTGTGTATTTAAATTGTAAACGTGAAGGGGCGAATCAAATGGAAACAAAAGGTCTCAAAATTTTGGTTTTTTTTTTTTTTTTTCCAAAAAAGAATAAAAATCGAACCTTTATTGGGTAGGCATATGGAATAGAAGAGTTTGTGTAACTGACGTTGAATCTGCCGTATATAATTGTTTAATTTTTTTTTTTAAAAATCCAATATAAGAAATTAGTTGCATTTTTGTTCTTTTTGCAGATTAGATATCTTAATGTTCCATGTAAGTTGTACTTAGCAGAGCATATGTTCTAATCTTTTAATTGCTCAGGACTGCGTGTGAAGCAGCACCGGGAACTAGAAAGCTTAACACTTACAGCGCAGCCATTAAAGACATTAAAGTATTTCATGTTGGGTTTTGGCCAATGCTTTCGACAATTTATGGCAAAAGGTGGTTGGCTTGTGCTTCTAATTATGTTAGCAGGAGGTATAGGAATGCTTACCATAACTTTTGGTGGACCTCAAGAAGAGGTATTTTTATGCCCATTATTTATTTAATTGAATTGCATTTTTATGCCCACTTTTGGGAGGTATTTTTATGCCCATTATTTATTTAATTGAATTGCATTTTTATGCCCACTTTTGGACTTTCCTTTATTGATTTTATAAATTAATCGTACTGCAGCATATTCAGGAGCTTGTTCGTTATCTTCAATTCGGACTCTGGTGGCTGGCTCTTGGTGTAGCATCATCAATTGGTCTTGGTAAGCAATAGCATGAAATTTTGACTTTCTGGTGGATAGAGTTGTCCTGTTTTCGACAACACTCGGAATGATTTTATTATATTGTTCTTCTATGCAGGATCTGGTTTGCACACATTTGTGCTGTATTTGGGGCCTCATATAGCTCTGTTTACTATGAAGTCCGTGCAGTGTGGCAGAGTTGACATAAAAAGTGCCCCATATGACACCATTCAATTGAAAAGTAATCCTTCATGGCTGGACAGAGACTGCTCTGAATTTGGGGACCCCATATTTTTATCGCAGCACAGTTCAAGGGTTCCACTTAGCAGGATATTGCCTCAGGTTCAGTTAGAGGCTATCCTATGGGGAATCGGAACTGCACTGGGAGAGCTTCCTCCTTATTTCATATCAAGAGCTGGTAACTACAAAACAACAAACTATCTTCTTGTACTCACTATCTCGATACTCTGCAATCGTCGTAGTAAACAATTTCTAGGCAGGAACAGCCTGTTAGAAAAACTTCAGCTAGTCTAACTTATCCATGCACTTGTGTCTGTACGTGCTCACATGTTCATCTTTTACTTATTTCATGGCCCTTTGTAAGTCGGGAGTATATCTGGATTCTTTAACCTGACTACATAGTGTAAGGGTGAGTGAATTGCATATGTTGAACCACTAATTTCTCCCTGAACGAATTTCTGAATCTCTCCTAATCTATGATTATGTGCAGCTCGTATATCTGGCGAAAAATTGGAAGTCATGAAAGACTTGGATTCTTCTTCAACTGAAGATGGTGGAATTGTAGCTAATCGTCTGAACCGGATCAAATTATGGCTTCTTTCTCATACACAATATCTGAACTTTTTAACTATATTAGTTCTTGCTTCGGTATTTTTTTTCTCTCTTCTAGCAAAACTTTTCTAATATGTCATTGCCCCGAAATGAGGGTTTGGAGATGTATTTTGGATACCCCTTTTTCCTGAGGCTAATTGTACTTTCTCTCAGCACATTCTGTACTTAGTTCCCTTTTGAGACCTCCTGATGTGTTTATCCGAAATAATTTTCAGGTGCCCAACCCTCTATTTGACCTTGCCGGTATAATGTGTGGACAATTTGGCATTCCATTTTGGACGTTCTTCCTATCAACATTGATTGGAAAGGCATTTATCAAGACTCACATACAGGTTTGTTGCCTTGTAAGATATTTCAACATTTTGAAGCTTCATAGTGTCTGCTCATTTCACAAACGGTTTATGTTGCCCCGTAATTGCAGACAGTTTTCATCATCTCAGTTTGCAACAATCAACTTCTGGACTTGGTAGAAAATAAATTGATTTGGGCGTTCAGCTTTGTCCCTGGATTTGGTTTGGTTGTGCCCGACCTCATCGCCAAATTACATATTGTGAAAGACAAGTATATGCATGCCTCTCCTGCAGTGCCCGCAAACAGCAAGGTAGTGTTTTCTGTGTTATGGCTTGAGTATCTATATGTTATAAGTTAATTTTACAAGTAAAGTGTTTGAGCCTATTTGGAGTGTTTCATATAAGATATACTTTTCTCCATTTTCTGCTTTCAGGAGAAAAAGTGGGATTTATCATTTAGTTCGATTTGGAACACTGTTGTGTGGCTCATGCTCATGAACTTTTTCATCAAGATTGTCACAGCAACTGCGCAAAGCGTTCTCAAGGAAGAACATGAAAAGGAGTTGACTGCATTGTCGAACAAGCCGCATACATCAGAACAAAAAAATAATGGGTGTTGCAGCCAAGCATCCGATTGAATTTTCCGAAGGTCGTTCGGATTTGATTAATTTTCTTTTCTAATATTCGAAGCTTTGGAATTTAGTGGCAGAAATTTTTTTGTATCTGCCAGCCATGATTATTTCGCCCAAAGCTTGAACCTACTTATCTCTGTTTCAGTTTGTACATAAAACAACCATGCCATGAAGCATAAGTTAACCTGTAGAAGTATCTACATGTCTTGTAGGGGATCCTATTTGTACCATTATATCACCCTCCCGGGAAATTCAGTGGAATAAAATTCATCTGGATATTAGCGTATTTTAGTAAATGACTGGGGAATGTTGTTCCTGTGCTCCACCAGCTGCATGCAAAGATAATTTTGGCCATTTCTTGAACTTTCAAGTAAAAACTAATTAAGATTCTCTACTCAAATTCGGATAGCATGTAACACAATATTAACACTTTTGACACTGGGCACTTACACTAAAACAATTAGAGTATCTCCAACCGATGTGTCAAAAGTGCCACATAGACCTTTAACGGTTAGAAATAACATCTCACATCACTCCAACCGATATGTCAAAACTGATGTGGAATGAAGGCTGGAGGTTGATATGTTATTTTTGACATACCAAAAGCAAGATGTCAAATGAATATTTTATTATTTTTAAAAGATAGTTGGCTATTACTTTCATTTATTATTTTCCTTTTTTAATTTTTTTTCTTCTTCATCTTAAATGATTTGACTGTTACAATAATTATTTATTTGATATATCGGGTGGAGTGTAAAACTATGTAAATGTCAAATTGCCACATCAGCCATCAAATTTAAATTTGATGTTTGGTATTTGACATCTCCCTTGGAGTACAAAGCACAAGTAGGTAGGTGGTAGGCTTTATTTTACAATTGCAAATCATAAGACTCCATACACATTTTGGTCCATTGGTTGATGATGAAATGAGCATCATAAACTGGAAAACAATATGAATCTAAACACTTTTTTTTATTTTATAGTTATCATCAAATCTCCCAAAACCAGTGGCTAGTGAGGCTTGCAATGCTTCAAAACTAGGGTTTGCCTTGGAGACCCTCCATGGGTATTTAACTTTCATGGTTTCCAAAGTAGAAATTACTGTATCAAGCAAAGCCCAGGTGGGTTTCCCATCTGAGGTCCTGGGAGAACTGAGAGATTGCAGCTCTTGGATCACCATCAGCAATGGTCAAGTAGTAGTGAGCAGTGGCATCATCAACTTGCATGCTTCTCCTCAGTGACTCAATCACCCTCTTCTTACTCTGCAAATCAGTTGCAGAGCAAGAAGACGTGCTTGAGCTGCCATTGCTGGTCGTTTTGTGGAGCTCAGGGCCGCCATCCAAATACAGCACAGCCACTTCTCTCTTAGCACAAGTATCCACTTCAACATAGCAAGTAGCCTGCAAAAGCATCTCCGGATTGCTTATCGGGATCAGCAATCTCTCACGAGAGTATATTCCGTGCTCGCTCATCGTGTTGTTCAAACGCTTTATGTCCATCACCTGATCACCATTCATCACACAACATTTTAATTAAAATCTTGACTTTTTTATTTTCTCGGCGACCAAACACATCATAAAAACCCTAGATACCTGAACAGAATACTTGACGGCGAGACTGGCGATGCTGTCGCCACGGACAATCCGGTGCGAGATGGCGAATTTTCCGAGAGAATTGTCTCTCCAGAAGTTTCCAGATGCTGGCTTTCCGATGATATGCTTCAGATTCCAAGGGGCTTTGAAGGCTCTGGTGACGATCTCCTGATCGGAGGCGACCGAGTTCCAGACTCGGCAGACGCAGCTGGAGCGAGCAAGGTCGGGAATCGGGAGCTTCTCGAAGATGAGGCGGAGGGTGTCGCGGCAAGTCAAGGCCGAGAAGTGAGAGTTCATCGGAGATATGGTGGAGTCGGAGAAGTCTAGGATTTCGGTGGTGGTGGTGGGGTTGAGAGGGTTGAGGATGTCGTCGTCGTTTTCTTCGTCCCCGCAGCAGCCCATTGTCGTTTAAAAGCTGAGAGTAGATCCTGGGGTTCTTTTGTAGCTTACGAACTAACAATCAACGACGTCCGTTAAAATTTCAGATAAGCTTTGAGTTTTTTATTTTTTTATTTTTTTTTTTCGGTCTGAAAGTTTCGGAAAGGCTATACTGAGCGATTAAAGTGAGGAGGTTATTTGAGGAGGTCAAATCTCACCATCAACAAATGTGAAGAAATCATGAGACTTAAATATTTTAAATATTTTGACGGTCGGATCGGTCTCCTCAAATAACCTCCTTACTTTAACTCCTCATTGTAGAAGCTCCCTGAAAGTTTTGAGTTGTTGGACTGTTGGGTTTAGCTATTTCTCTTTGTTGGGCCACGTAGACAGTGTAGCCCACATTTTAGGGCCCACAACATAGAAGCCCTTCTTGCACTAAAAATTACAAAAGAAAATGTGAAAATATTTTTGGGTGTTTCTTTATTTTAAATAAAGATCCCAACTATTAATTTTCCAATCCTATTTATATGGATTATATTGCACGAATAAAAAACTTGCAAAGAAAAAGAAATACATGTTGACATATAAATTTAACATATCACCCAGCTTCTTTTCTTAAATTTAGAATACAAAATACAATACATCACAGCTTCAAAGATTCAGCAGAACAAACGCCTTCATCAAGGCATCTTGTACAGCAAATAAGAATTTCCGAGCATCCATGGCAGAGAAAAAGGGGGCCTAAAATCTAATTTCTATATCAACTGCTGGCTTGGGAAAAAATATTTAAAACAAAATAAAACTCATCAACTTCACCATCCATGACTGTGGCCGAGACCGTATGCATCAGGATAACCAGTGCCATGAACATGGCCATGACCATGATGGTGGTCATGCCCATCATCATGACCATGATGCTCACCGCTTTTTGCTTCATCAAACATCTTCTGAATATGCTCTGGGATGGGCTCTTCCTCAACCTTTCTGACAGATGCAGGCAGCGAGGACACAAAATAAGCAATATTTTCAGCTACCTCATCAGCTGCGTCCTCCTATATAACCGGATGGAATAAATCAGCTTATTTGAATTTCCACACACCATGAGTAAGAAGACCTTGAAACAGAGTAATTTCTTGAACTACTTGCCATGATGTTCAACGAAATATTTAGTTCATCCATGAAATGGAAAGTAAAATCAAAGTCTTTACTTTAGCTTAGCATAGAAGTAGGAAAAAGCATTAGTATTTTGATTGCACTGATAGTATCGTACACGAGGGCAATGAATAAAAGAGAACAAATAAAGTAAAGCATGCATATGATTATACCAACAGCAGGCTTTGTTGCTTCAGATTCTATAAAGAACTCAACACACACACAGTAAAAGAAACTATCTGCAACTGTCTTCCGATTCGAATACCTTTTTGCCCTAGCCATTCAATAGTAATTTTTAACATCAGATTCCAACAAAGAGCAGTGTTGTTTCAGTATTCATCAACATAAACCATAAACCAACCGCCAGCTTCTTGACTTATACTACAAAATTGGTAAGATAGGCATAAATCCTCCACAGACCACTTAACATATTCTACATTTTCAATCAGGAACTAACTGGTTATATTGATTTTAAATCAAGGCTGGCCGTCCAAAGAGTAAGCCTCCTCAACCCAACAGTTGTTTGCTCTATATGGAAACTAACATAGAGACCATATGCAGATGCTATTCTCTGAATATACCATTACATCCTATCTTTATAGTAATTACAGTCCTACATATCTGTTTGACAGGCAATACAAAGTCGCATTCAGAACCTAACGGAGACAAATTTCATATCTTTCTACCATTTAGAATTCGAAACAGCTATCCTATGGAAACTGAGACCAAACAATTGTATCCCAGATATTGAGATTTTTAGTCTTACCACATACACGAAAAACAAGCAGTAGCTACTGAATATATCAAATCCTCACCTGAGGCCACCGTCCCCCAGAATGGGTGACAAAAGTTGCCTGTGGAAGTGCACTTGCAACTCGGTTTCCCTCTTCGCTCCATTCCTTGGACCAACTGCTAGACCAAAGCACTTGCATCGGCACACCTATCAGTCCATCCGAGCCACCCCACTCTGCTATATCAAAGCTATGATTTAACTTCTTCCCCATTCCAACAATTGCTTTTGTCCCATCCCTACCCTTCAAAAGAAGTCTATGCGCATCCACTTCCAAAACATCAATCCCCCTTGAGCAACACAGCTTAATCAACCATGTATAAGCATATGAAAACCTCAACACAACCTCCCTAACCACTGGCACTCCCAAAACCCACAAAGGCAAAGCACCCGTCGATCTGGATGAGGTATCAATAAGCGTCACACTCCTCACGGCTTCCGAATTCTCCAAAACCCAATTTGCAAGCATCCCCAAAGCTGAATCATGCAAAACCAAATGCACAGGAGCCAAACCTATAGTCTCAATCACTTGTCCCAACACCTTACCAATCTCATCAGGACCCATTTCAATTGGCTTTACAAACTTTTGTTTTGGCATCCGAGATTCTATTTCTTCATAGGGAATCTGGCCAGTTTCAATTATCTCATCAAATGCCCAAAACAAACCCTTCTCTTGAATTTCACTATAGACATACCAAAACCTCCCTAAAATCCCAGTTGGTCCCTCTCCAACCTCCACCACCGATTTATCCGAAAACCCATTTCCAGGTAAATCAAACGCAACCGCACGAACCCCTTTAGAGCCTAAAGATTCAGTAACTTTGCGAAAAGAGTAGGAGCTAAGACCCAGCCCATGAACAATAACAACATTTTCTGCTGTTATAGGACCTTGCTCAGTAGAAAAAACTTCAACGGGGTTCTGGTTTGAGTGAGTCTGAACCTTTATAGTGCGGCCCTTGGAGTAGTGTTGGCGAAGAGACGCGGGCAAGCTCAAAAACCAAGACTTTGGGTCTTGTGGGGACAGAGAGGAGAGAGAAATGAAGAAGAAGGTCACAAGAGAGACTGTAAGAGTGAAGTAGAACCAGAAAGCGAATGGATTTTGACCATTTTGTGGTGCAACTGGTGTTTCTGTTGGTGAAGAAGTGGGTTTTGATTTTGAAGGTTGGGTTGGTTTGATCTCTAATGACCGTTTCGGCTCTTGTCGTTGTTGGTCTTCCTCTTCCTCTGTGATGATCACCATTGAAGAAAGCTTGAAGCTTTTAAAATGGGGATTTTTGAGCTTGAACAGGAACTGGAACTGGAATTGGTGGTTTGAACTTTGATCTACGGAGTAGAACTGAAAAGTAAAGTGAGAGGAGAGAGGGAGTGTGTAAAGTAAAGTGGGGAGAAAAAGCTCTGAGCTTTTCCTATTAAAGATTTCTTTATTATTTTATGGCTGTAGAATGGTGCGACCTTTTGTGTCGTTTCTCGTTTGAGTTTGGGTAAGAAGGAAACGACATGTCGCTAGTGATCCATTTGCGAAATGGTTTGCAGAGTTACTCTCCCACTACGACCAAAATGGGAACCAATCCTTGAAAGTAGGGAGAGGGTCCCCTAATTCCCGAAATGCAAAATCATTCACTTCTATCTTTATTCTTTCGTTTAACATATTTTAAATTGGGCAATGATTTCCCCACTCCTATTTTATCCACTTACACTCCTTTTTTAGTATAAAAAAGGAGTGTAAGTAGATAAAATAGGAGAAAAAGGAGTGGGGAAATCACCACTCTTTAAATTTAGTGACTTTTCTAATTCAATTCAATTATAGACACCAAACAAGCTTTAAGTAAAAATTATTTAATGATGGTTTGTAACTTTTAATTAGTAATATAATTGAATTAATGTTGTCAATGCACAATATTATGTGTGGTTATGGGGGTCAGCTTGTTAAGACCTATCATATGATCTTGCTCGGGAAGTACAAATGAAACCATAAATCAGCACAACAAATTCGAGTATAAATATGAGCAAAACATTGGAGATCAACACAATAAAACAGTCGGAGTTTTACCTAAAAAAACATAAATTTTGAAGTTAAGAAGAATAATATGTTTGATACATAGTGGACTATGAGTTCTGAGCACGTACGCAGGTGTTTTTCTTCTTTATATACCTTGGGCAGAGCAGAGGAACAAGTCGACTCTATTTGCTTAATACAATGAAAATTATTAATTAATAAATTATTGTTTCTTCCCTTGAATTTGTCAATATTTTTGAAAACCTATTACAAAAATCATTGGAAATCAGGAATCAATTTAATAATCCTCAAACCTAATTCACAAATGATGGAATTTAGTCCAAAACACAATAAGCAAGTTCATGGCTTCTTAACTTTGAAATTGTGGCTTGGTTGTTGGTTTACACTGGTGCAATGAAGTTTATTGCAGCTTCTACGTGACTTGCCAAATGTCCAGTAGCACTTTAGGTGAAGTAATACAAAGTCTACATGAAAATAGAAAGAAAAATACAATTTTCAGAGTATATATGACAGTTATGTGTTTTGGCTACGGTTTTTGATCTTTAGCACCGGTTTGTGTGCTTTTAGTGACGAAATAAAGGCCCCATAATCTAAAAAGGTCTTTAGAAGCGCATAAAACCGCCGCTAACCGTTGCTAAAAGTCAATGTAACGACAGACAGCAATAGCTCCACTAAAAGTCGATAGATTATTCAAATCATCTCCGCCCTGTTCCATGTCCGTGACTTTTACATTTAATAGAAAAGAGAAAGCAAAACCTCGTTTTTTATTTATACACATATACCCAGATTACATGAAAACATCAGTTAAAAATCTCGTCCAAATGATTTAATTGGATACACAAAAATTCCCCACGCTGTTCAACAAACAAGATCGGATGGGAAAGAAATTTAAAAATCTCCTCTCGCATGTTATCATTGCTCAATCCTTCTAGGTAAGCGCTAAAGCTGGATTATCCTGATGAATCCTGGTATTGCTACATCCCTATGAATATGTACTGCTTCCCATACTCTATCCAATCTATCAAGCCTTCATAGAACATAACCTGCATAGTGCAAGATGAAATCATAACTTCGAAACAAAACTATTATACTAGAAATAAGAACGAGAGCTTGTTCAGGAAAGAGCAACAAAAAAATGACAAGAAGATCATTTAGAAGCCAAAAGCCGAACTGCCTATGATTCACCAATGACCAAAACACGGTAGCTCTGAATTTTTCTTTTTGGGACGAAACAAGGCAATAAACAAGTGTGGGGGAGTGCATGTCAAGGAGTGGCAAACCTATTAGAATAAACTTTGGCTATTAGGAGTTGCAGTCGTATTTTCCTATTGTTACCAAGCAATTGTGGTAAAGGCCAAAAGAAAAGGGATGAGACATACAAGCTATCACTATTCAACATTACCATTAGACCAGGAATGGCACATCCCTTGCGAGTGTGGACCAGTATATGCCAAATGAGAGAAAACTTAAAACCTGCAATTGCGCAAGATCATTAAGGTCATAGTTCATATGTTCGCAAATGCATGCCTGATATGTGTTGTTCTGTCAGTGTTGTGTGCAGGTGCATGCATTGATGGGGGTGGGCAGGCAATGACCCCCAGTATTTTACAGAGAACTATTGGCCTCATGGTGAAAGTGGATTGCGAGTAAGCTACTTTTCTTTTAATATTTCTTATAACAATCGCAGATGTTATAAATGAAAGAAAGTTAGGAGGATGAATGAGACGTCCATCTAATATTCTCAATCCCAAACAAAAATTACAACCAAATCAAACTAACTAGTTTCGATGACACACACCAATTGAGTTAAAGAGGCCAACAGTCTTCAAGACTCTTAATTGCCTGATCCCCATCATGATGAAAAACAGAGAGAAGAGGGAAAGAAGAGGAGGGACCATGCATTGGATACCAGCCATCATAGCTAAGCTATGGAAACACTAATAAAATGCCAGATTGAGTACTCGAAATTTACTTTCTTACATAGAATTAATATCAAGCTAAATGCCATCCAAAAAATTGAGCTTTACCCATTAGCCATGAATGTTAGATCCATAACATCTCTACTCTATGATCATACCCCTGACTTTCACAAAGATTAGCTTGGCTCTGAATGCACGTATTTACAGAGACAACTGGATGAGTCATTCCTTCCCCAAGTGCCTCAGAAATAGTTCCCCACAGAAGCTCCCTTCAAACTACATTGACAGATTAAAGAATTACTTACAACCTTCCCACAAGTCCATTCCATACATAGTTCACAATTCTACAATGCAAAACTTTACAAACGCGTAATGTTATACATGCACTAAATACCAAAACCCTGATTTCTTTTATTTCCCAACAAAATTTTCTAATAAAGAAATAAAATGTTTTCTTCAATTCCTTTTGAAAACAAAATAAAAACAACAATTGGGTTTTCAACTGCTTCAAAGTCCAAAAAATGTATAGCTAAACCTATCTGAAACACTCAATGGTTGCATTTGGCGAGAAGATTAGAGTTTTATTCTTTCATTTCTACTGCTTGATGTTCTCGCTATCCAAATAATAGAAGTGAGAAATTGGCGAATTGGAAGCTTACCAGAGAAGGGGTTTGAGTTGTATAGCCTAAAGCATGAATTTTGATCGAGCTCGAGCTCTGTATCGCCATTGAAATAGCTTCTCTCTCTCTGTCTCACTGGTTAGGGATTGTGAATTTTTTAAGTCAAAAGGGGCGGATTTTGGCTTAACAATATTTTATTATAAAGGTTATCTTTTTTGTAAGTTAATAAAAAGGTCTTAATTTTAGTCCAGTTTAATATTTATAGCAAGTAATCATAACATAAAACGACGTCGCTACCATGAGTGCTGAAAAGAAATATTTTTTTTTTACAAATTTATAAATAAATCCAATTCTAGACATGTATTTATAAAAAAACTCAAACGCTATTTAAACATAGAAACACACTTAAAATCCCAAAGTCAACAATTGTATATTTTTTAGGTGTGTTTATAAATAGATTTTGAGTGTGTGTAATAATAAATTTTGAGTGTGTTTATAAAGTGTTTTGGGTGTTAAATTTTTTATAATTTCATCTCCTATTTTGAATGTTTTAGTAAAACTCTTTTTTTTTTTTTTTTTTTTGGGGTTAATTTTTGATCAATCTTCGTTCTCAACGGCAAAAATCGTATCTTCTTCCCTCTCTGTGTTTTAGTTAACTGATACAAAAGCTTCATCTGTGATCTCTCTCTCTCTCTCTCTCTCTCTCTCCCCTCCCCCCCCACCGACGCGGAATTTTGCCACGATGCACTCACTGTCGTCACAAGTAGCTCGCCCTCTCTGCTCTCCCTCCTCACACTCTCACTACTTCCGCTTCCTCTCTCTCTCGCTCCCCATTTTCCACAGTTCCAAATCCCACCCCAAAATTTTCACTATTTCCCCGAAAGCCCCGCTCTTGACAGTCCGAAATTGCACCTCATTCTCTGCCAAGCCCTCTTCGGAGCTCCGAAACAAGCGTTCCAATTCCGACTCCGACGAGAAGCTCCGTGCCCTCCGCGAGCTCTTCTCGAAGCCCAGTGTTGGCATCGACGCCTATATCATTCCCTCTCAGGATGCTCACCAGGTTAAATTTCCAGTTTTTTGAAATGTTGTATTGTTCTTTGCGTTTCGTTTGAGGTTTTAGTGGTCTGTGAGGGTTTGCTGGCTGTAGGATTTAATTGTGTTTTGTTGGTTTGATCTATTCTACTGAGGATTATGAGCTTTTATTCGAATTTTGCTTCCTTTTTTTTTTTTTTTTTCTTTTTTTTTTCCGGTTGAGATTGTGTGTGGGTTGTAGAAAACAACTGGGTTTTGCTTATTTTGAGAGTTGTCGGTTTTTGTCTATCCTTTATTTTCTTTCCTTTGTGAAAATTTGATCATTTCCACATGTTTATGATTCAGCATGGTGATGGTGTGTCGGTTGTAAGATACACTTGAATTTGTCTAGTTTGAGATACTGTCTTGAAAGTAACGAGCTTTGCTTTTAGTTTTTTTTTTATAATCATAATTTTAGTTTGTGGTATGCGATAGTGCGCTGAACAATTCATCTGGGTTTTACCGTTTGAAGCATTTAGATTGTAAAACTAAGAGTTCGTTGAAGTTTTTCGTTTTGTTGAGTTTTGAAGTTATGAGTAAATGGAAAGAAAATGCTGAAATTCTTTTCAGTATTAGGTTTATCTAAACAGCTTTGACATTATTCCTTTTTTGTTTCACGTCTTTATGTATCACAAGGACCAAACAGTCTTAGCTATTAGGTTCTATGTTTATTTTGCATATAGCTCAGGTGTTGTAGCGTTTCTGCATTGGGTTCTAGTATTCCATGTTGCCTGTAGTAAATTGTAAGTGCCCTTTTCATTTTGGCTTCAGAGTGAGTTCATTGCTGAATGTTATATGAGGAGGGCATATATATCGGGGTTCACTGGAAGTGCTGGCACTGCAGTCGTCACAAAGGATAAAGCAGCTCTTTGGACTGATGGGCGCTATTTTCTTCAGGTATTTAAAGATACAAAATCACTTTCACTTTCACTTTTAGATCGTCTCTTGTGTGTTATTTCTTTACTATATGCACATCATAGTCTCTTTTCTTTTGAGTTTTATATTTTGTAGTGCTATCATATTGGAAGAATGGTTTCTGATTTTGTATAATCTGGCTTGAGGTGCAGTTCCTGATAACATTTACTCTTTCCTATTGTTAGGCTGAAAAGCAGCTAAGCTCTAGTTGGATTCTCATGAGGGCTGGTAGTCTTGGAGTTCCTACAACTATTGAATGGTTGAATGATGTTTTGGCTCCTGGTGGGAGAGTTGGCATTGATCCTGTGAGCAATTCTTAGCCTCTTAAAATGGGCCTTCACATTTCTTTATAATAAGTTTTGAAGTCAAATAGCACTTGACTTCTTGAATTGCTTACTTATGAAATGTGGATTTTAACCAGCTTTCAGAAAATAAAGTTTGAACCATTTCAAGTAATAGATCAAGTTTCATCTTTCCTTTTTTAATCAATACACTTTTTGGTAATTTGATAATTCAACTTATTAAGCTTGATCATGTTTTTGTTGCGCTCCCCCTCATTAAAATTTGTGTCTTTAATTTTTTATTATTCTTTGTGCTTGCTTTGTTTGTGATGCCACCTCCTTTATATTGTGAAGGGAGCAGTTTTTGTTTTCTTCCGATGCTGCAGAGGAGTTAAAGCAGGGCATTGCTAAGAAGAATCACGAGTTAGTGTTCCTGTATGATAAAAATCTTGTGGACGAAGTATGGAACAAATCAAGACCAAAGCCTCCAAACAAACCTATTAGAGTACATGACCTAAAGTATGCTGGTGTAGATGTCGCATCCAAGTTGTTGTCTCTGAGGTCTGAACTTGCTGATTCGGGTTCATCTGCAATAGTTATATCCATGCTCGATGAAATTGCCTGGCTGTTGAACTTGGTAATACCTCTGAACCTATCTGCGGGTTTTTTTTTTTTTTTTTGGGCAAAGATTCATGTTAACCCCAGTTATCAGCTATTCTCAGAATTCTTGATTCTTTAACCAAATATAAAATTGTAATTCAAAATTATTCATAAATGTTCATGCTTTTGTGTTCCATTTATTAATCCAAATGATGTGCTAAATTTTGTTTTGCAGAGAGGCAGTGATGTTCCACATTCACCTGTTATGTATGCATATTTGATTGTGGAGACTGATAAAGCGAAGTTATTTATAGATACTTCTAAAGTGAGCGCAGAGGTGATGGATCACTTGAAGAATGCAGGAATTGAATTGAGGCCATATGATTCCATTCTTTCTGAAGTCGAAGGGTAAGTTTGTGAGCTAAAACCTTTTTTTTAATAGGGAGTATTTTTCAGTGTTGTGATTTTCTGCAAATGATTTCATGAACAACTTTAATATGGGCCCTGGCAAAGTTGTCAGGTAATGACACGAGGTCTCTTGGCTGTAATGGTCAGGCAAATTATGATGGCTTTCTCATTTTCATTATTTTACTGTCTTAGATGTTCATATTTTTTAAACGGAGCTAAACTCATTTTGTAACACCAAACTATTAAAACCTATTTTTCATTTTCAGTCTGGCAGCACAAGGGGCTAACGTTTGGTTGGATATATCTTCTGTTAATGCTGCTATTGTCAAAACCTTTAACTCTGCTTGTGAAAGATATTATCAGAGCCTTGAAAGTAAAACAAAAAGTAAGACTAAGATGTATGACGACTCAAATGGTTGGTCTGGAGGACCCACTGGAATTTACAGAGTGTCCCCTATTTCTTTAGCAAAGGCAGTGAAAAATGATTCTGAGTTAGAAGGCATGCGGAGTTGTCATTTAAGGTAATTATTTCCACCCTCCAACTTGATTATGTGCATAATCATATGTGCGCGCTTTCCATATCATTGTTTGGTTGACTTCTTTGTTGATAATACTGAAGCTTAGTTGTTAGCATCATCAGACAACTGATCAGTAGAATGCCTAAAAAATTTAAGCTCTCATTTGGGTTATGTATATGAATTTTGTGTAAGAAAATACCTCCTAAGTTATGGCTAAACATGTATAAATTTAGTGGATTAGATATTATATTCTCTAGTTACGTGTCCATGATTTTTTCCTGTGCTGTTGAGCCTGAGGGTGTAGACGGGGTCAAATTTGACAGTCATTGGAGTTTTTAGGTGAGAACAATATTTTTAATCACTCTATGAAGAATATTTTGAAAGGGATTGGTAGCAAGATAGTCTCCATATATGCATGTGGCTTTTCTTTCCCGATAAACCATATTAGAAATTCTGTTATAGGGAGAATTTCTATCTATACTTTCATTACAGAGACATATGTGGTTTAAAATTTAAGGATATGGGTCAAGGTGATGATGTCTGTGCAGGGATGCTGCTGCTCTAGTGCAGTTTTGGGTTTGGATGGAAGAGCAAATTAAAAAGAATATGAAATTAACTGAGGTAGAGGTTGCAGACAAACTTCTTGAATTTCGTTCGGCACAGCCTGGTTTCCTAGATACAAGCTTTGACACCATAAGTGGTACATGTCAAACCTTTATTGTTTTTTACCTTTTTTTTTACAGTTATTTGAGATTTTTACTTTTATTTCCATAGATAAGCATGTTCTTATCCCTAAGTTAATGCTTATTACATAGATGTTTTCTTTTTTGCTTCTTCTCTTTATTGTCCTTTTCTTATTTTTTGAGTCAATAGTTCCTTTGTCGATTTCTTAAACTTCTCTACTCACAATTTGAATGCTTTTCCAGGTTCTGGTGCAAACGGTGCAATCATACACTACAGAGCAGAACCAGATAGTTGTAGTGTTGTGGATGACAAGAAACTCTTCCTATTGGATAGTGGTGGTCAATACGTTGATGGAACAACTGATATAACGAGGACCGTACATTTTGGCGAACCTCCCTCGCGACAAAAAGAATGCTTTACTCGAGTTTTACAGGTACTAAGTACATTCCTTTGGTTTTCTGGGTAATAAATTCTTATGAAATTTATTTACTTGAAGGCTGCATAAATTGGGTAAAGATATCTGAAGAGGGCAGGGCCAAAGGTCTCAATACTTTCTAAAGATTGGGTTTTTTTTCTCTGGGGATATCAGGCAATTATGCAATGGTGTACTTATTTGCGATGTTGATGTACTTTTAATTAACCGAAACTTATTTGCATAACTAAAGTAGAGTATTTTAGTATTTATTGTACT